CATGTGCAAGTCTTGCATTCAGTCCCCAGTACTGAAACAAACAGCTTTGAGATAAAATTTACTCACTTAAAATGTAAAATTCAGTGGGTTTTCACAGAGGTGCACCTCTCCACAATAAAAAAAAAATACGAAAACAATTTGTAAACATACTGAAAACAATTGAAGGATTTTGGTTTAGCCTAGAAGTGGTAATGTAGAAATACATATTGCACGTGACACTGACAGGGTACTTCCATTACAATTGCAGTACGACTAGTGTGTTCCATATACAGTATATAGTATAAATGACCTTTCCTGGTCACATACTATTTTGTTGGAATACTATTGTGATATAATCTCAGTAGTCGAAAATGTGTTAAAGGTTCTTTTTACACTTGATGACATTGGACAGTCTAAACTCAAGTCTTCAACTTTCTTTACTCTGCATACCTTTAATGTTGGGTACTGTCTCTTTGAGTTTCAGTCTTAAGATTTCCATTTTCATTGTGTTTCTCTTGAAATTGTTCTGCTTTTTTTCCCCGGTTTCTTGCCGCTCTTGGGACAGTTTATGAGTTTTTCTTGCCTTTTGACTTGCTAGATTTTTTTCCCCCAGATAAACTGTAGTAACAGTAGTGAGAAGCATTGGATTTCAGTTATTAGGAATGAGGAAAGAGATAGTAAATACAGATAACTTTTGATAAGTTTGGCTGTAAAAGAGACAATGTATCAGAGAAGACAGGGTTGAAAGGCTTTAAGATGAGAGAAGCATGAACATACTTAAAACCGGCTTAGAACCCAAAATCCCATTCTACCTTGGCAGTGTGATCACTTGCCAAGGGAATCTGAGGACACTTAAGTGCTTCTGTAATTATGTCTACATGATTTTCACTTGATTATTTTACTTTCTCATAGTTTACATTTTCAGGCTCCCTACTTAACCAAATATATTTGAACAGTAGTGTTTTTTATTCTGCTAAACAAACAAACAAACCAGCAATGACTGTGAGCCTTTAAGAAATGAACTTGGAGGGCCAGGGATTTAGCTCAGTGGTTCCGCTGCCTGCCTCACAAGCACAAGGTCCCGAGTTTGATCCCCGGTACAAACAAAAAAAGAAATGAACTTAGTTCTGTAAAGGTGGTATTTGCACTTCACAAGTGTATCTTTTATACAAGCCAGACCTCACAGGGATCCTCACGACCATTATTAAACAGTTTGTGTTAGGTTGAACCAGCTTAGAGTTGAACAGAATTTGTCCCTTCCCAACCATGGTTATCAACGTCAACTCTCTCAGGTGTTTATCACTGCATTACATGCGGAATGAATGATTGTGAAAGTACAGGAGAAATGGCTCATGGTGTGGTAGGCAGGAAGCAGTGATTGAGGAGGGAGATACACCATTCCAGGGAGTGCAGTGATCCACCTCCACCAACCAGGCTTTACCTCCCAACATCACACTTAGCTATAAACTTGGGAAGTGATCTGATGATTATCATGCACTCATGAACAATCACTCCTAAAAGTACCACCTATGAAGGCATGAGACTTTGGGAGGATATCCTAGAAACAAACCATAACAGTGTGAGACTTTGAATCCACCAGTCTTGCACTGGTGGATGCACTTCAACTGTTTGGAGGAAGGGAGAAATGTGAAAACAAAGGTAACTATGTTGCCATGGGGCAAACATACCCACATTATAAACTATTTGATAACCCCTTTACTGCTAAATTAATTACTTCAGGTAATTAATTACTGAATAATTACTGTATTACCTGCTCAGTACTTTGAGATAAGAGATAAACTACATAGGTTAGGACCTAGATAGGGTTACTATGAGGAAAAAACCCCCCAAGACCCTAAAGGTTAAATAGAGAAAAAACTGGAAGCATTAAGAGACTAAACATGTACGAGAGAGAACTAGACCCAGATTTAGCTGTCTCTTGCTGCTGGTGTGCAGTGTGACCACTAACAATTTTAATTCCAATATCCATTTTCTTATCTGTAAAACAAACTAGGTGATTTATAAGATCTTTCAGCTCTTAAGGGGTCTGTATGATTTAAAAGATACTCTGCTGTATTTATTCAAGTATCAAAAAATACAAGATAACATCAATACAGTGGTACCTTGGTTCACGAACTTGATTCTTTCCATGATTCTGGTAGCAGACCGAGTTGGATGAGAACCAAAACAAATTCAATGGTTGGTCAAATTCAATGGTTAGGTTCAAATTTCCACATAGGGAAATCTGATAGGGTTCTTGTCCAGTTCTCCAGTTCAGTTTGCAAGCAGAATCATGGCGAGAATTGAGTTCATGAACTGAGGTACCATAGTAATCTCAAAAAAAAAAGGTATGTCAAGAAATGCAATTAAAGACATTTTCAGAAAAATTAAAAAAGTATCATGTTGACTTTTCTTAGGTACTTCTAAAATTTCTGAATAACTATCATAATTTCATCATAGCTATGCGCTCTTGCTGGCTCTCTCTTATTAGGATAAACCCTCAACCTGGAAATATCTAGGTAAGTCAGGATATTGTGAGAGTTGGGGTTGATATCTTTGCCACACCTTCAAATGTCCCCACTTCACACATGTATAAGTAGATTACAAGGGGAATTCCTCATGTATATGTTTTCAGGATTCATTCATGGGTAAAATAAGCAATAAACCTAAAATTTTTGCCAGGACTTATTACTTGCACTACATCGAACATCACCCAACCTCCACAGACTCACCTAGTTTAAAAAATCCACAGTACTTTGGGGGATGGGGATGTAGCTCAGTGGCACTGTGCCTGCCTGGTAAGTGCAAAGTCCTGAGTTTGATTCCTGGTGTGTGGGGGATGGGGGGGGGCCCAGAGTACTTGGTTCTGACTTGGCAATTCACTAGAGGGACAAGCAATAGCTGTATGTTTGTAGAATTTTAAAATAAATGATCCTGACACATATCTTTGTTGGAAAAAAGCCTTGCTTTAACAACTATCCCAAGTCAGGAATGGTGGTCCATGCCTGTAATCCCAGCACTTGGGAGGCTGAGGCAGGAGGAATGCTACAAGTTCGAGGCTAGCCTAGGCTACATAGTGAGTTCAAGGCCAGCCTGAACTATATAGCAAGACCCTGTCTCAAAACAAAACAAAAACTGACCTAATACACTTTATGAACTTACTAAAATTACAAGTTATAATACAAATCAATGTCCCATCTTTTGAGAGATTGAAAGAATATAGTTTGCTTTATGTAAGGGATGGGATTCCTAACTCCACTTTAAAAATATTCCCCAAATCCAGTGTTTTCTCTGGGGCACAGGCTATTCTTGCACATGTTGGCACCACCAACTCTTTTTTTGGTACCAGGGATTGAACTTGGGTCCTTGAACTTGCGCAGCAGGCGGCGAAACCACTGAGCTAAATCCTCAGCAACTAACTCTTCAAATACTAATTTGCAAATCACATTTCTGAAGAGTGCAAAATCTTTCCTTAAAAGTTAAGAATTAAGTTGTAGGTTCTTTTAAAATATATTAAATATATTTGTTTCATGTATTTATGGTTAGCTGTCCATGGTACATAAGGCTAGAAAAACTTCAACCTACATGACAAATTATAGAAATTATTGCATTATATAAGTCTCATTTTCCACATACAGGATTTCTAAGCAATCTGTTACTTTCCCCCCCTACAAACTGGTCTGGCACAGTAACTCAAAATGAGGCGACTGCTTAATCTTATAAAATGATCAAGATTCATTAAACTGAAGGTCAGAAAGAAAACAGGCAACATTTTGTGCCTTTTCCAATACTTACCATCTCATGTTACCACTGCTTAAGAATGAAACAAAACCACCAATCTTGTGGCTTGTTCCCAGAAACATGACATATAAGTTTAGTCTCTGAAATGCGATTGTTTCTACCATGTATTGGTCTTTTTTTTTTTGGTGCCGGGGATCATGTATTGGTCATTTTTAATCAGTCTGGCTACCTTTCTTTGACAGGAGGGCCTGCTAATCAGAAGTTTTACTTTTATTAATAACAGAAAGGTGTAGTACATACCCTTCACTGACTCATACCTATTAATTTTGTTTTCAGAATGAAGTTCAAAATGAATGGGAGGGGAGAAAAAACCGAATAAAGCACACATATCAACATTTTTAACCCTTCTGACATTCTCAAGAGGAAATTTCCCATCTTTCCACACTGTAGACAGATTCTGTAAAAGAAACACATTGTTTTAGTAACACAAGTGGAAAAAAAAAACAGTTCACTTAAAATACTGAGCAAATGACTTACAAGTCTTAAAGCAACCATACATATGAAGTATCACAAATTAAACACTAAAAAGATAAACTGGCGATCTATGCAAATGAACTTGGCTTGTCTGCAGTTTTTAGCACACAGTCTAGGTTTATCCAAGAGCCAGTGATACTTCAGAACAAATCGCCGACCTTCGGGAAACCTATCAATAATATCCCCTTTTCATTATCTCCCCGCTTTCGCTTCTGGGTGACAAGTCGTTTTAAAGCGGGTTAATGTATTTTACTCTCTTTTCGTATTTGCAAATCCAAGTCATCGTCCCTTCCTTCCCAGCTCTTCTACCTTCCAATGGCGATTTCTTTGGACCTCTTTGCAAACCATCCCTATATGAAAAAAAAGTAGTGAAGGTCCGAAACAGGGAGGAGCGAGAACGTGAACCGGGAGGTGGAGACTACAAGACAGCCCAGTGGGAGAACAAGGGCTACCTCGTCGAAAGGCGCAAGCATCGCCGCCCGGGGTCCCTGCACCTCAACAGACACCTATGGCTCCAACTGTCCTGTTCCTCCGAGCCCAGACGTAAAAGAACTCCTGAAATCCCTCATTTAGAAAATGCAGCAAGAGGCCTTGTGCAAAACCTGAAGGACCGTGAGGCTGAGGCTCACATGGCCCCCACACTCCACCTCCTGTCAGACCCACCCAACGCTAACCCTCAAGGAAGCCTCCGCCCCATTCCCAGGTCGATCCCCGAGACTCTCCGGTCAGCCAGTGCTCCACCTCACCGTCCCTACTGCACGACTTCTCGGCTCCCGCGCTTGCAAGAAGTCCTCTAGCTCCGCGGAGCCAACCCAGCGATCCTAACATGGCCACCAGTCCCCTCCGCTCCTCCTCTCTGGGCGCGTCCGGCCTCGGCGCATCTTGGGTATTGTAGTTCTAGCGAAAGCCTTGGCGTCCTTTGAGGACGCCAGAAGACTACAATTCCCAGAATGCATCGCACCCTAGCATGGCTATTGGGGCTGCTCGGACAGAGGGATGATGTCATTGCAAAAACCCCACTGCATTCATTGTGCTACGATCTACCCACCCCCTGCTGCCGCTGGGCTTGCTATTGCCGCTCGCTCCAGCTGAGCTCAGAGTAGCAGCAGCACCAGGGCAGGGACTGACTCCAGCCCTTGGACTTAGGACATCGCCGCACCTTCCTTTGCGTGCGTGACTCCTTCGCACATCATTTCTGTTTATGCCTGGGGTGGGGAGAAAAATCCCAAACCAGGTGAGTTGAAGTGATTTATTCAAATGGTTCTCCCAAGTTATTCCTCCCGCTTAGTTTTCAAGGCTTTCTTTTGGGAAGATGGGGCCGGGGGTGTGTTGTGGATGGGGGTGGGGGTTGGGGAGGCTCTCCCAGGCGCTGCTAAGGGAAAGGCTCTGCAATTTGGGTCACTGCAAAGAACCAACTCCAGCAACCTCACCCTCCATCCCCCGCCAGACGGGTGCCTGCCAATTCCTTAGTCGCAACTCCCCTCAACCTTTTTGAGACTGGGAGAGGGGACTGGGCTGGGAAGGATGTTGGGAAGTGCTCTTTGAAAATCAGAGGTGGGCATAGGTGGGGAACTGCAGCCTTGACCTGACACTCATGGTCGGAGTGCTGAGGTTGGAGTGGGAAGGGGTGATGCGCGGAGAGAAACGGAGACAGTGATTTAATGCACTACTTTAAAACATTTCTATATCGCTTGGACGAACACACACTATTCATTTTTAGGATGGGCATGCTTCTTTTGAGTAGCTTAAGTTGCGTGGGGCTTTATTTTCTGTGAGTATATGTCGTTTGTCTCGCCTTTTCTGCTGATTTGAGGTGACAGTGTCCTTTAATGGTGCACTCCATGCCAGTCAGAAACATTTCACGTGTGTGGGGAAGGTTGTCTTAGGCTGCTGGAAGCAGCATTTTTAAGCAGCATGTTTTCCGTTCTGACTGCAGGGTTCAGGATTATTTGGAAGTGGAGCCGACAGATTTGTGCTTGTGTGAGTTTTAAATTACATCGGAATAGGCTCCTTGCCACTGACAGTGGTACCATAATGAGCTGCCGTTTCCTGAGGCACAGTAACCACTCACAAATAACGGTTTGCAGACTGGATCGATTAGGGAAACCCAGCTTCATTTTTGCACATGAAGGAAAGGGAAAGTTAGAGGTGCTATCAGCCTTCATTTGCCATTGCCTGAATTGTACCCAAGGAAGAGTAATCCTGACCAGAGAAACCAAGGACCATAATAGTATTGTACTTGTTTTTGTATGTTTTAAACAAAATGACACGTTTAATAGGGCAGAAAACATTCTTCTATGATGTTGGCTCTCCTCGTTTTTAGAGTTACAGGAATGATCAGTGCAATAAATATGTTGCTTTGAGATAAACAGCTGGCTGGCTCCAGAACAGATGGGGCTAGTCTTAGCTGAGAGATCTATAACCTTGGAAACAAATGGACCTGGGGTCAACCACACCCCCTCTTGGAATGTCAAAAGAAGGAGAAATGCTAGAGTATTTGCTTAACTCTAAACTGCTAAATCTTTTCACAGCTGAGTCAGGCATTGGGTGAAAGTCATTGCTGGCTGTCATCAGCTGCTGTGAACCAATTTTGTTCATTTTCAATTCAGACCCTTAGGTCTCCAAAGTTGCAGCTGGGTGATACTTTGTTAAATGCTGCTTGCTGCTGAATGCAAGGGACAGTCCATTGTATGGCTTTTGTAGTAGAGTGATTTATTGGGATGCCATGAGCAGCTTTTGGATCCGGGACCAACTGTATGCCATTGCTTCTTCCTACATCTCTCTATTGCTTATTCTGCTCTTCTGCATACCCTGCCCTTTTCTTCTGTACCTTCCTTCCTCACCCTACCCCAGCCATGTCTCTTGAAATTTCCTCTCTCAGTTTTTTCCCCTGTCTCTCCATTTACAGTTCACATTTTCCTTCTGTTTCAGAATCTCCCCTTATCATTAGCATACCACATTTCTTTCTGGAAGTCACCTTCGAAGTTCTGAACACCCTCCCTATCTCTCCTTCTCCTCATCCAGAAACCCCAGGGTAACTGTAGACTGTGTGGGTATTTATTTAGAGTTCTCTTTGAGGATAGTTTGGCTTCTCTTTTTCTTGCAGTTTGTGCTTGGCAGGATGAGCAGCAGAGAGCCTGACACTGCGCTGGGTGTGAGTCTGTGACAGACTTGATCTGCAACCCCCCCCCCCCCAACATGCAGACAATGAAAGGTTGCATTTGAGCTCATGCCACTTCCTTTCACTGGCACCTGTGAAGAGCTGCCAGTGGGTTAGTAAGATTCTTAAGTGCTTTACATGAAATGTTCTCATAATTCCCAAGGAATAGATATTCTTCATATTGCTTCTGCTTCATTTAATACTTTTTGTTTTTTCTTATACTTGTTCCAGGGAGTGGCGGGAAGGATGTTTTCCTACCTCCCTTACTGTTCCCTGTTGATTGCTGGGGAGCAATCCAGGTAGCCAAATTGTCTATATGGTTTTTTTTGGAAGGTACTTAGCAGGTAATAGCTTTCTTCCTATTGTTTCGTCTCTTTTGTGGAGGAAAGAGGAAGTTTGTTTTATACTCCTCTCAAAGGGAGAAGTGTATGGTGGTGATTGTATTCTTTTGCATTAGCAGTATTGTTTCTTCATGCGTGGAAGATCTAACTGCTTCCATCTGAAGGCAGCTAATATGACAGGGAGATACAGAAGCTTTCAACCAAGACCACTCTTCCACCTTCTCATTTCTAATTTTCTTTTTCTGAAATACTCCCTTAAAACCTAAGGTTTTTTTAGTGTGTTATGTAGGAGAAATGAGCTGAATGGATGGCTAGATTTGACTCTGACTCTGTTCTCCTTGTGACCTTGAATAACTATGTTTCTTTCTGCCTCAGCTTACATTTTGGCAAAGAGATAATTATCCTTGCTCCTTGGTTTGCTTGGCCTGATGTTATAATCTATGATCTGACCCCAACCTGTCATTCTGACAACAAATATTAATTGAACATCTACTGTCATTAATCACTGGGCATATGTTGATGAAAGGAAATGCTTCCATGCCCTCAACAAGGGAAACAGTCATCATACAATTTCAAGTGTGATAAATGTTTCTTCCAAAGGGATGGATAGAAGTGCCTAATGTGGCACTCTTTGTCTGGGACAATCAAGGAAGATTTCTTGCAGGGAGTAACACTTCAAGAGACTTGAACAGTGAGTGGAAGTAACTCAGGATGGCAATGGGAGGTGCTTCAGAATGGAACAAAGGAGGTCTCTGGCAGAGGACACTGCACATTCAGAGTAGAAAGGGAAGAGTAGTGAACAAGGAAACAGAAGTCAGAATGAAGAATGAGGCTGGAAACATGGGAAGCTGGAGACCTGGCAATTTTCTGAGTTGCAAGTGAACCCTAGGAATCTAGGACTGATTTTAGTTAGCTGGATGAATGACATATGTGGAATGTTATTGAAAACATCACCCTGGCTGTTAAGTGGAGAAGAGATTGCGGGAAAATTTGTCCATGGTGAATATGTGGAGAAAAGTAGCAGTGTATTTTTGTAGTCTAAGTGATGGATGATGGGTGGTTCTCAGATCTGAGGTGGTAACGGAGGGCCTGGGGAGAGGGGAAGAGATTGGAGAGCTACTCAGTTTGAAAATTATAATTGATAAGATATATTGATTAATTAGATATGGGGCTAGAGAGAAACAAGTATAATTTGAGACTTTCCTTGAACAATCAGGATGACTTTTTTTGTTGTTGTTTTTGGTTTTGGTACCTGGGATTGAACTTGGGACCTTGCGCTTGCAAGGCAGGTGGCGGAACCACTGAGCTAAATCCCCAGCCCAATCAGGATGACTTTTGTAGAGAAAATACTGAATGAGTATCAAGCAGGGGAATTAGATGGGTGCAGTGGTGCATGCTTGTGTTCATAGCTCTTGGGGAAGGTGAGTTAGAAGGATCACAGGTTCAAACAAAAACAAAAATTAGGGGGGACTTTTGGTCATGTTGAATTTGAGGTCCCTGGAAAACATGTAAGATCTTTGTTTTGCTTAACTGTCTATGTGGCATTATAGAAGAGAGCTTCAGATAAAGCTGAGACATGTACTACTTACTTATTAGCTGTATGATACTGACACCACATTCTTTTTCTGAGCTTCAGTTTCCTCATCTATAAAATGTATTTATTCCACTAAGTTATATTGATCCCAAGCTATATGTCCACAATGCTAGAAATACATCATTGAATAAGATAGTGTTTGCTTTGGAGGAAGTGAGGGAGATAAATATAGACAAATAATCACACACAGGTATGTAGGCGATGCTAGAAGAGCGTGGATGGCCCCATGGGAGGCGTTCATTCTTGAGGGTTGGGGATGTCCACAAAGTGGCAGGCAGTCTTTGACCCTAGGTAGGAAGCTGTCCAGAGTGTTCTCCCAGGCACCTAATAGAGTGCCTCAAATTAGGGACTCTAAATGCCTGTTGACTGACTGTACTAACCTAAGTCTCTAGGGGCTCATTCGAAGTATCAACACATTGGAAGAAGGCAATTAGTAATAGTGCAAATGTCAAATGTAAAATGTGCTCTATAGATCCATTCCTGAGACTTGCAGACTTTGAGATGTTTTGTAGGTGACTTTTAGGGAAATTCAGAAATATTTCAGTTCTGGTTTCTTTTGGGTCTTAACTTCCTTGATTTAAGGTTTTTTGTTTTTTTTTTTCCTGATACTGGGGATCGAACTCAGGTCCTTGCGCTTCCAAGGCGGGTGCGGTGCCACTGAGCTAAATCCCCAGCCCTAAAATTGTTTTCTTAAAAATCATTCTAATTGTCTAGAGTTCTCTAAATCAATAGGACTCAGACTTTTGAATTTTACAGATAAGTGAAGTTGCACACAAAGATAAAATTGGTAAGCTGTTGACAATAATTTTTAGTAAAGAAAATTTTTACAAAATCTCTTGCTTTTATCACATAATATATTTAACTTTATGGAAAAGTTTTTACCTCTTTTTCTTCTCAGTTTGTTGCACGGTAAGAAAAAACAAGACACAAACAAAAACATTACAATGTTATAATAATTTAGGGAACCATTACTGTATTTTCAAGACTGTGGTAGAAATATGGCTCATCTCCAAGGAAGAACATTTCCAAGTATAGAAGAATTTTCTATGAACCACAGATAATTTATTTTCAGTTTCTTCTTCATAAGAATCTAGCCCTTGAAAACTAGATAGGTTTACTCAAAATTTGTTTAACATATG